GTTCCTCCAACCCTTCCAACCGAAGTTCGCAGTTACCCTGGATTGAGTACGCACACAATTCCCATGTTTCCTCTGCAACTGGTTTGTCCCCAGTTGAACCCTCCCTTGGTTTCCAACCCTGTCTGTTCCCCTCAAAGTTTTCCTCAAACAGCCACCTCGGTTCCCCTATTCCTCAGGACTGCTAGATGTACCTGGTCCACCACACAGAAGGCTCTCCAAAGGGCCGCTGAACACAATCAGCGCCTGGCCGACCAGCACCGGAGACCCGCCCCAGACTATGCACCTGGACAGCGCGTCTGGTTATCAACTAGGGACATCCGGTTTAAGGATCACTGCAGGAAGCTCTCTCCCAAATACATCGGCCTCTACGCCATCTCTGCAGTTGTCAACCCCTCTGTCCGCCTGGTTCTTCCAAATCACATGAAGGTAAACCCGTCTCTCAGACTTCCCCATTTTCCAGTGCTTACCTCAACCTCACGGACCTTCGAGTGCCTTCTACGCTCAGCTCCCTCAACCCTCAAACTACAGCTCCTTCCAGGAACCCTGCCTCATGTAAGCACCCCAGCCTGGACTTCCTCCCCTCCCAAGTCCTCCTCGCTTTGAGATTGTAAGTCCTCAGAAACTCCAAAATTCAGTCAAGATCACACATACCGGACCTAACCCTCTCCGTCTTTAGATCACCACACCCGAACCCCGTTCCGAAGAATTCAGCTGGACTTTCCGCTACAATTTTAGTTCACACGTTTTATAAATAAATTATTGTTTAAACTCTTACCTGGCTCCTTGGACTGATTCTGTATGTCAGGGGTTAGACTCTTACCACACAACATGACAACTGTTGGTCAGAAGGTCATTAGAGACCCTAAGAAGAGCTGTTTCAGTAGAATGAGCTCTACGAAAACCTGACTGGAAACCATCATAGATGTTCTGTTCATCAAGAGCAGCTGTGAGATGTTTAGCCACAACCTTTTCCAAGATCTTGGAGATGAACGGAAGTTTAGAGATGTGTCTGACTGACTCTGTACCTCTGATTGCTGAGAAAGGAGGAAGGTGGTGGCGCACGAAAAATGCCTCGGACAATTATTACATTAACTGGGTGGGAACTGAAAATAATGTTGGGGACAAACCTGTAGAAGAGGAGGAAAGAAAAATAAATTGTGCTACAGGAAGGAAATGGGTGAAAGCAGTGCATGCGGGGAGTTATCGTGTCTACATAGGCAAGCCGTTTAAACATTTAATCAGCAATCTGACCTTTGTGCAATTCCTATTTTTATAGCAAGTTGCAATTGAACAGAAAATGCTGCACTGTGTTCTACAAAATAAAAAGGAAGCAAAGCCATTTGTCTGCTTTTCTTTTCCTTTCTGCCGATTCCAAAAAAAGATTCGAACCATGACTGAAACCCGTGTTTGGTGTGTTATAGTGTTGTTGCAGCTTCCCAATAAAATTTTACAAAAATTTTTTTGTCAAAAATATTTGTTGATCCAGTTTAAACAAATGGTTCGCTATGTTTTCTTGTTAGGAAGGAATGTGTTTCAGGAACCAACTATAACTGAGAGGCTTCCTCTGCAGGCTGTTGGGTCACTCACTTCAGATGATGGATCACATCTGAATCATCCCATGTTCCCCATCACCACTGTCATTAAATCAGCTTGTTAAACCAAACTTCTCTACAAGGTACAAGAGCAAAGTTCAATGCTTGGTTACATCAATCCACTTCATGAGATGGCAACCTCAATGGCTGAGAGGGAACTGGAAGATAATTACACTGCAACACCTGGCTTTGTTTATGTATATATAAATGAGTAAACAAGTTAATATTTCATTGATTGTGTAAATTAGATAAAACATATGTTGGTTTTGAAGGTTTTTATAGATCACAGGCATCAGGACGTAGAAGCAGAGAAGCCAGTGTAACTTTAAAAACAGGACGACCAAAGTTGAACAATAAAATGAGCCCCATGTGATCATGTCGCTGCACTGAAACCACAAGTTAATGGTTTCCTGAAGAAAAGCCAATCATTTCTAAAACTTAAAGGGCCTGTGTAATGCTATTTTACACCTTACAGCAGGCCTATTCAAATGGCGGCCCGTGGGCCACATCCGGCCCGCGGGCCCTACCCAGCTGGCCCACCTCACCCAATCCCCCAACCACCAACGGAAAAAAACTGTTGAAAAACTGTTTAAGCATGCAAGAAATTCCCACACTGATATTGCACTTGAACACAACACCATTTTAGCAATCAGGGACATATATATGTAGATGCCCCTTGGACTGGTGCTGTCTATTGGAGCTGCCATAGTGTGGCTTCTACATATTCATGTCTATGCTAGCTGAGACCCAGGCCAGCAATGACCCAGCCCAGCTTGTGGAGCAAACAAGCGCCTTTCAGGCTAAACTAAACATGTTCGCAACAGACTTGACTGGTGAAAGAATGCTACATTTTCCCACACTCCGTAAAGCCACCTCTCCTCCGAAAGTCACGGCAGAAATGACTGGTTTAGTCGTGAAACTGAAGGACAACTTCACCAGTGGCCTGGAGGATCTGTCACTTCCTACAGAGGCGATGCAATTAACGAAAGATCCATTTGCTGCCATCGCTGAGGAAACATTGTCCATCAAAGCTAAGAAAGTGGTCTCTTCTATCGACGAGGGACAGTTCCTCCTGGAGTTGGTGGACATGCAGTCATCACTTACAATGCCACAAGAGCTGCGCACAATTGGCCCCGCTAAGTTTTGGAGTCAGATCAATGCCCATCAGTTCCCAAACGTCAAGAATGTAGCTGTGACTGTTCTCAGTATGTTTGGATCCACCTAAATTTGTGAATCCAGCTTTTCTCATATGAATGCAATCAAAACAAACCTGCGCTCCTCTCTCACTGAATCCTTTCTGCACTCCTGTCTACGCATTGCACTCAGCTCCTATGAGCCAAATATTCCATGTCTTGTTCAAAACAAAAAGTGCCACCTCTCGCACTAAAGTTGCAAGAATAACGGTCAAGTTATTGTAAATGTTTATTTAGTAGCTGCGACTGAGTTATTCGAAGTTAATAAAACAAATGTTTGTATTACCAGCTCTGCAGCTGGTAAATTAATACAGATCATTAAAGCAATAAAAGACATTGTGCATTGCTTTTTTGTTGTCATTGTATTAGTGGTAGAGGTAATATCAGTCAAAATATAAAAATTTTATATTTAAACATTGTCCGTAAAATACATAAAGATTTGGGTATCCGGCCCAAAGCTGATCCACGATGTTGAAATCAGGCCCAGTAGGGAAAGTAATTGAATAGGCCTGTTTTACAGAGCAACAGTAGGTGCACTATATGATAAAAGAATATTGTTGATGTCATCTTTTATAAATACGTTTTTTTTTTCCATCCGCCATCACTTCTATCCGGAAAAAAGACGCTTGTGCTTTTTTCATCAAACCCTGCCTCCCCCATTCCATAGTTCGCAGACACAAGCCGACCCGTGCCACTCAACCAACCCTGCAACGTGCATGCACACACACCAGCTTAACATAGAACAAGCGAAGGAGATGCTAGCTGATTCCCTGCCTGGATTGTTTTCCCCAGTCCATCCACAAAACTGTACAACCCTTTAGTGGCTAGCATTTTGGTTGCACTCCGACTCTCCATCAGCTGGAGTGGTGCTGGTTTGAAGAAGTAATCCATCTGACAACAAAGCCCTGTACTGGCGGTGGTTCAACAAGCACTGAAATCACATTCAGGCTCGTTTTCGACAGCTCCTTAAGTTCAAATCTGACCATTTCTGCCGATTTCCGGGGAGACAGGGACAGGGATCTTGCTCCTCTTGTAGAAAAAAAAATCAATTTTTGGGTTCTAGGCACATTTTAAAGGTGCAGATCACTGAAAAAACATTTTTGATTATAATCGGTCACTGAGTTTTTCATGCAGACGGAACATGAAAATAGTCTTCTAACCCTATCTCTTGAACTAGTTTCAGATAGAAGATAGAGGGTTAAACTAGGGATGCACCTGTATCAGTAAAAGTTAACTGATACCAGGAGCCGATACCAATGTGGTAACTTGTCATTTCTGTTCACCTAATATTTTAGGTTTTTGGTCATTTCCATTAATATATATTTTTTTCTACCTCACAGTCTTTTCCTGTTGAAAGCAGAGAAGAAAATAAAACCTGTATTCCAAAACATTGCATTTTTTTGTGTGTTAGAAGTATCGGTATCAGTAATCGGTATCGGCGAGTACTCAGATCAAAGTATCGGTTTAGAAAAAGTGGCATCGGTGCATCCCTAGGTTAAACTCTAGGATTTGAAAAGCCCGACAGATCTATGTCACAGACTATGTCTAGACTAGTAGAACCTAACCATTAGCATTAGCAACTCCACCACACAGCGGAACTCCTTCAGACTTGTATTATTTGTGGAGATAAAACATCAATGTTGCAGATCAAATGGAGTCAGTGGTAGAGTCGTGTTGCTGTTAGCCAATCAGAGGAGACATGTCCAAATATCAGGAAAAAAAACCCTGCCAAGACCTGCAGTCTGAAGCTACTTTGCTCTCCAGCTGACTTGTACACCCGCATCTCCTCCACTCCTCTGTGCTCCTCACCCCGAGCCCAGCCCGCCAATAGAGGAATCTCATTTCAGCAGCTTGTATTTGCAATCCTGTTCTTGATCATTGGGCCGAAGCGTGTGACCATAGTTGAGGAAGGTCACCGGTTTTGATTTATGGCTTCAAAATTACAGACCGGGTTAGCATCTGCATCACTGCACCGATCCATCTGTGGATTTCCCACTCCCTCCTTCCCTCTCTTTTGATCAAGACCCTGACATATGTAAGCCCCCCCACCTGTGGTAGGACCTCTGCCCTGACCTGGAATTGACAATCCACCCTTTTCCTGTCAAGAACCATGGCCTTGGATTTGCATGTGCTGATCTTCATTCCAGTCACTTAAGATTCGGCTGCAAACCTCCCCAGCAGTTTCTTCCTACTTTCCATCTAGTGTCTGACTCACCAATTAAATGCCAGGTCTTCCTCTTTCCATAGTTTCCACATCCAGCGGTCTGATCCGACTCGTAGCCAATCAGAGGTGTACAGAGAGCATCAGCTACTTGTCCAACCAGCAGCAAAACACCTGAACCACACAGAGACATCCACAAGTCAGCAACAGTACGGCAGCTTCTGTAGGCTGAATGTAGCATGGAGCTTAATGGAAATGTTTCTTTGATTGTAAATGGTGTGTATTTGAAATAGTGCCTTCAAGATTTCTGACACCCCCGAGGAGCTTTAGAACACACGCACTCGTTTTCAAATGATTTTGCTGCTGTTGGTGGTGGACGAAGGGACTGGTGGTGCAAGTGTATGGTTAGCTTTGCTTCTGTCAGTGTGCCCCAGGGCAGCGGTGGCTACAATGTAGCTCATCAAAGCTGGTGTGTGTGCATGGGTGAATGACTGATTATGTCTGGGGAAAGTGTGTGTGTGTGTGGGGGGGGGGGGGGGGGGGGTTAGAATCCTAGAAGACCTAACAGACCACTTACTTTTGGTTTTATGTCAAACAAGTTAAAGGTAAGTTAAAAGTTAAAGTCCCATTAGTTGTCACAATGGATGTAATTTTCACTTTAGAAGTGTGTGTGTGTGTGTGTGTGGGGGGGGGGGGGGGGTTCTTTACAGTATGTTCTAATGGGAAACAGGCTTCAACACAAATGGTTGTTTTCCGCTTGGTCTTAGAGCTCAACCAGTGTCACTTTAATATTAATATTGTTTTTTAACGGTAAAAAGTGCAGGGGTCAAAACTTGACTTTGGAAAAAGTGGGGGGGCGTGTCCCCCCTGTCCCCCCCAAAATTACATCCATGCAGAAAGACCCCAGGCCGGGAAGTGATCCCAGGACCTTCTCACTGCAAGGCAACAGCTCTAACCACTGCGCCGCCCATATATATATATATATATATAGAGAGAGGAGAGAGAGAGAGAGAGAGAGAGATGAGAGAGAGAGAGAGAGAGAGAGAGAGAGAGAGAGGAGAGAGATGAGAGAGAGAGAGAGAGAGGAGAGAGAGAGAGAGAGAGAGAGAGAGAGAGAGAGGAGAAGAGAGAGAGAGAGAGGAGAGAGAGGAGAGAGAGAGAGAGAGAGGAGAGAAGAGAGAGAGAGAGAGGAGATTTTTATAAATTATATTTTTGCCTCTGTGTCAAATTATTATTAGGTGTTGTTTTTCCTGGCATACCCAAAGTACCTATTTTCCTCATCAATCAAATATTAAGGTTCCATATTTTTATGGAATATTACGTTTTATTTAAAAACCTTTATATTTTATCAACACTTTAATAAAAGTAACCACTTACTAAATGGCACACGATGTTTAAGTAGGGAGCTACTGACTGGTGGATGGAGAAAAATATGAAGTAAGGTGGTTGGATCAGAGTTTTTTCTTTGACAGACACAAATGGTGTTGCAGCTATTAAAGGCTTATTTTACCCAAGAGCTCCATTAACCTTGCTTTATCTTCCATACCAGTCTGGTCTGAGAACTGGTCAGAACTGGTCTGAGAACTGGTTCTGTGGCCGACAAGCAAGAGTCTCAGAGTGGTCAGATCTTCTCCCAACAGGAGATAAACATCAGTCTCCCATTCTCTAGAAAACACTTAGGCTACACGGCAGAACCACAGCAGCTTCTAGCATAGTGTGACTGACAATCAAATCTGTCAGAAGCATCTACCAGGAAACTGTTGACCTTTAAACCTTTGTGCTTCACCTTTCCCCCTTGCTGCCCAGTTTAGCGCTCAGTTTTTAACCTCTCAGTGACTGCAGCTGTTTGTAGACTGCATGAAGCTCAACTGAAACCTGATTTTTAACTTAAGAAAAAAGGAAAACAATATCTAAATCTAATCAGCATTCAGTTAAATGAATTCATTATGAATGAATGCTGATGTGTGAGAAGAGAATGACCTGGACCAGTTCCCTGACCAGACACTTCTGGAGGATGAGATCAGGATAAGAGGACAGCGTGAGGTCAGATGATGGTGTCCTGCAGGTGGACATGTTGGCCGGGGAGATGTTTCCAGAGGATCTAAGGGATTGTTCAGAAGAAACACGCAGACCCACCTGCGTTGGTGTTGTGGAAGCCCAGCACTGAGTGGTAGAACACCAGCAGGTAGGTGAACCACATGGAAGCACACAGGTCGTTCAGGGAAGTGTCCCACCGCGTAGCTCAGCCTCCTGACGGCCGGTAGCGAACGATCCGTGTCCGACATGGTGACGGCTGAACAGTCCGGTTGTTCGGTGAGAATCCGGCCCAACCAAACGTAGCTGCGAGTTCCGGTTCCTCGTTCTTGTTTGAACCCCGCTAAGTTTAGTTCTCTGGTGGCTAGCAGAGAAACATCAGCAGCGCCCTACATCAACGCAGTTCCTGAAAAATAAACAACAATGTCGTAAAAACGCGATGAAAGACAAGAGAAAGGAAGCAGCGAAGAGCGGACAGATCTGCTCCACATCTGGCTTCTGCCAGATGTAAACACAACACGCCGATCTACATCTCATACCGATCACGTGCGCATAAACCCAGTGGAGCTGACCAACAGCACGCGACCGTGTCGCTGCTGTCAGCCAATAACGAGCGCAGCTTCCTGCGCATGTGACTGCAGAACCACAGCCACGCCCACTTCTGTCTTGCGTCATGTGACTATTGGCTCTGATCGCTGCTTTAGGAATAAAACCATGTCCGGTTTGATGTAAAACGGTCGCCGGTTCACGTTTCAAGTACTGAGATGTAAAAAAAAGTTCATATTAAGGGATCTTTTAACAAACCGTGAAAGAAAGAGACATGATTTAAGTCATGACCGGATGGCGCAGTGCAGGGACCGGTCCTAGGTTCAGGGGTTAACGGGTGCTAAGCACCCACACAGAACTACCCGGCCAGCAAGATAAATTTCACTGTTTGTACATTTTAACACAATTTCATTCACATATTTGTGACAGAAAATATTTTGTTTTACATATAAAATAAAGGTTTTCACAAAACAGTATTTAATAGATTCAGCTATCTGGACCAGGATTGAAGAGTCTAGGTGAGTGGATCCCAATCTTTTTTCCTTGTGTCCAAGGACCCCCAACACCACCGCCTACCCCCACAAACACACATTAAAAATCAATCATTTCAAACTTCATACAGAGATATAACCCTTATACAGGACTTTGATTATAATATTGGTATTGAGATTTTATAAATGTAATTTTGCAAACAACTTTGGTAACCTTACAGACAGCACTTTGTTGGTCATAGACCCCAGGTTGGTAACCTCTATAAGAGCAGTTTAAGGATGCTCAGAGTGGAAAAATTGGCTAGAACTGCCGTTTCCTAACCGAAACCAGAAAATAGGAACTAACTTCCGCCATTCCAAGTTACTGAAAATACCAGTTAATATTTTTAGATCTATTTTTGTATAATTTTTCTTTAATTTTCCACAAATTTCTAAATCCCATTGCAAAAAATATCAATGCTCTTTCTAAAAAATGTTTATTTTTTTCTAAATTTCAAAACTTAATAAAAATTAAATGTTTTTTTTTTTCTTTTTTCAAAACAGACAAAATATCTCTTGTAAATATTTATGGAAGAGGAAAACGGATCACCGACTTCCTCTCAATAATGTCTGATTCAATCTTAGCTTTTCTGACTTTTTTTCCCCATAATTCTCAAAAATTCATCATCAAGGCTTTAAATAAATTGTTTCAGCTGTTAATTTGTGTGCATTAAAAGGGTTTGGCTTGTAGGAAACAACACTACTCCACCACCTTGTCTGTGATAGAATCTTAGTTGGGCTTTAGCACCAACCTGTCCAGTTGCTGAGGAACCTGCTGAGAGCAACAGTTGTGACACCGAGAGTAACGACTCTGACGAACATCACAGACTGGAGCTAGGACTGGGACAATATTCAACGTAAACTTGTACCAAGTTTTGTAACATTGGAACATGTTTTACATTACAACCCAAACCTCCGTCATGACCTTTTATCTCTGCCATGATAATGGATTGATTGGGGCATCAGTAGCTCAGGTGGTAGAGCGGGTTGTCTCATGGTCGGAGGGTCATGGGGTTGATCCCAGCTCCCGCCAGGGGTATCCTGCT